TTCATATATGGTGTTTATTAGTTTTGTCAGTGTTTTCAAACGACCTTCTCCCAGTAACTTAAGCACATCTCCAGGTACATCATCGTCTCCTGTAGCCTTTTCATTCCTCGTGGCCTTGATAGCTTTTTCCACCTCACTTTGTAAAATATATGGTCCTTTCTCATCTGTATCTACTTCTTCTTCTGGTTCCACTTCCAAGGTTTCTGGCCGATTAGGTCGATCATATAGTTCTGTAATATAATTTCTGTAATTTCTGTAATATAAGTTCTGTAATTATAATTTTCAGCATTTGCCTCTGATCTACTATTCTATTCCCCTGGGAGTCTTCTATGCCAGTATTTTGAATCCCATGGTTCTCTTTCCATCCTAGTTCTTTTGTCTTCATGTACATCAAATCATAACGTCCTGTCCTTTGAAATTCTATAATTAGGGCTAGTAACCTTAATTAAAACCCAACCTCAGTGACAGGTTTACAGCATAGCCTAGGTTAAAGTAGTCCTGTGTTAGGTCTAGTTTTTAATGCCACAAAACAAATTTCTTCTAGAGAAGTTGACACACCACCAGCTGGTCAAGTTCTTCCTTACACTTGAAAATTTGTTCCTGTGTTCAGAAGAACCTACCCATGGATGTTATCCTTAGTTAAATCGAGTCCACACCCTGCCAAGAAAAAAAATCCAAGTATGTGCCACTTTTTTTTGCATTGAAAGATTGTTAGACCCCTCCCCCACAACCTAACTCCCAAAGTTGAGGGCCATCTGATTTTGGCAGTCCAGCACATCTTATTCAATATAGTTGCAACTGCTGTGCCATGCCATGGCAACAGAAGACCTACTTAACATGGGTTCACTGTAGTAACTGCCCTCAAATTCAGCCACAGATATGCATTATTGCCATATTGCTTACATCCTATTGCTTTATATCTTTTATATTACTAGATAAAACTTCTTATTAAAAACTTGTGTGGTAGTGATAAATGTTCTGCAGAAAACCGTGTTAATTGATGAAAAATGCCTGAATTCAGTCACATAGCTTAAGTAGACCATTGTTGTCTTGCATGTGTTTATAATTTCTCAGAATTTCTTATAAAGGTTATATACATGCAAATGGTTTTATCGTTAGAATATTGGAATTTTATAGCCATGACCAACATTATATGCAGTTGCACTGTTTCATAATTTTTATGATTTTAATACAGTAGCAGTTTCTTTATTATATTCATGATCCATTTTTTAGGTCGCAGTTATGGTCATTTTATTACAAGCCATTACATTGGCTGAGCAAATTTTATATGTTTTTGTTTGGTGTAGGAACCAGAAATAAAATCCAAAATTAGTAGCTGTTTAGTTTAAGTAGGTTACAGTGGTTTGGATGAATTCCAGTTCTTACTCTCTTGTAGAGAATCTAATATAGTTTAGCTGTATGTGGATGTTGTTAGCTGGTCTCACTTGTAGCCACCCTTACAGTTATCTACACAGAACTGAAGCAGAAGTGAGAGGATAATTGTTCATTTTCTCTGTTTATTTGGAACAACAGCTCCTGACCTCTGGTGGCAGTCTAAATCTGGATTGTGAAGGCTCACTTTAGGATGTGAAGAGTCATCAGTAATTTTCCAGAAGGCTAGGTTTCAGGGTCTCACAGTTCATTCTGTGTACTTTAAATACCTTTTGTTACTTAAGAATGATATATCAGGATTGTCCATGATACCTTAACATATTATGCTCATACAGTAACTTCTCAATTTTTGTTGCTTCATTTCTTTAAAGCATAAGTGGTAACTTTATTTTGTCAGTTACTGTGTTGCGTTTGAAGTCACATAGCCCCTAAGTTATTTTGTTGAAGTGTGTCATTGCAGAGAGCCATGTAAGAAATTGCTTAAATCCAGGTTTAGCTGCTAACATTAGAAAGTACTTTACATTGTCTAATGAAACTTCATATTCTTGTTTCTCAGAGCTAATTATTTTAATGGAACAGTTTTCACCTGTGTTTATCATGGTATGAATTAATTTATAATACTTTCCAAATATATATTATATGTGTATTAAACTGTAGTCACAAGGAGTTCTTGTTGTACTTAAAAATAATGCTCTGCAGCATATAGTTTACCATAACTGGAGACTTGGTTTTTGTGGCCTCCCTCAGTCCCTCAAAGTAAGGACATTGCTGCTTCCTTGCTTTTCCATGCCTTGACAAGTCCCCCCCCCAACTGTTGCTCTGTCACAGACTACTCTCCTTTACCTAGCAAAGCAGAATAGCTCCGGGTCTATCACGGTGAATGCTGCTTGAAATAGGGTTTGGAGACAGGTGAGGGCCACATGCATGGGCATAAGCAGTCTGTATCTGGTCTAACAGCAAGTCTCAAGTACTTGCCAGTGATTGGTGGTATGAAGCTGAACTTAACCCTGTTGACGGTGAAGGAGTAACGGAAAATTGAGTTCCTATAAGTTCCCCCAAACTGGTAAAATATACTGTAGGAATACCTGATGAGAGGCAGAAGCATTGTGTTCTTTTAATACACAGTTCATTCTAATTAGGTCTAATGATTGAAAAGCTGATGATTTTTTTATTAAGGAAGTGGAGGGCTGGAACTCATGGAGGGCATTCTTTGGTGCTGAGAATTTGGAGAATATTTTTTTAATTAAGGTATGTTTAGACGAGCAGCAAGAATTGATCAATTTTGGGCGGAGTTTGATGATTCTGTTGTTATTGTATATCCAGCAATGTTGATGAAAATCTTTTGCCACGTCTTTTTGTTCCCGCAGTGTTGTCAGCAGTGTGGATCAACTTCAAGACACTTGGCAGTGCTTATTTACACTGTAGCATTTCTCCTGTCAGGATGAGTGCTAGAGATCCCTTTCAGATATAAATTTTTTAGTGTTTATGGTCATTGATTTGTTTGATCTGGTGTTCATATAGTCCTACATTCAGCTATTAACAGAAGACAGGAGGAGGAGAAGATATAGGTTAGATCATGTCTCACAAGCATCGTGTGGAGTCAGGCAGATACTTGTTTCAGAACTTTACAAGAGATTCACATAATGACTTTAAATAAAGTTGAACTGAAGATTCAGAGAACTGATAGTAGCATGAGGAAAGAAATTCCCACATCCACCAAATTGATAATTCTGTGAAGACTTTAATACTGGAGATTCCTATAGGAGTTTCAAGTTTCTGAGTCTGCTACTTTCCTCATGATACCAGAAATTCTCAAAGAATTTAATTTAATTTAATTTATTTGCGTTCCATAAACCCTAAGCAGGTTCATACCTTTGGATATAGAACAAGTCAAAAGAATACATACTGGTACAAGTAATTTATCTTAAACTAATATAGCTTAATTCTACATTATTCTCTATTTACATTGAGGTATTCATCTACAGAGTAGAAGGAATGAGTATGCAGATAATTCTTTAGCTCTGATTTAAAATGTTTAGTATCTTTACTCAAGTTTTTGATACTTTGTGGGAGACTATTGTACACTTTTATGCCAGAAAAGTAGACTCCTTTTTGATATAGTGATAAGTTTGATGAAGGTAGATGGAAGTTATATTTTTGTCTAGTATTCATGTTATAGATATTGGAATTTAATTCAAATTTATTTTTGTTGTACACAACAAATAAGAGAAGTGATAGTATGTATTGTGATGGAGGAGGTAGAATTTTTAATTTCTTAAATAAATCTCTACATGAATCTCTATTTCTGCATCCTGTAATGAATCTAATTGAATGTGAAGAGTTCCCCCAGAATATTAATCCATAGTTCATAATAGAATGAAAGTAGGCATGATAAACCATCTTCAGTGTTTCCTGTGGCATAAAGGCCTTAATCTCATTGCATAGTAAGCTGCACTTAATTTAGGTATAGTTTGTTCTGTATGTATTTTCCAAGACAGTGTACTGTCTACATGTATTCCAAGGAATTTTGTCTCAGGTGCTTTACAGATTAATTTGTTGGCATAACTGATGGCCAGATCAGTTTGGTGGCTGTTTTTAGTTGAGAATGGTATGTGATGGGTTTTATCAAAATTTAGTGAGAGTTTATTGGCTTCAAACCATCTATTTAAAGCTTCAAATACAAAATTTATATCATTTTTAAAGTTGTCACACTTATAATTCTTAAATATTATACTAGTGTCATCTGCAAATAGAATTGGTTTATATTTATTGTTGATGGTTTTTGATAAATCATTTATGTAGAGAAGAAAAAGCAAGGGGCCAAAAATTGATCCCTGTGGAACACCATGTTTTATGATTCCCCAGTTTGAAAATGCATTAGAACTGGGAGTTTTACTTTTTATCTCCAATCTTTGGTACCTATTTTTGAGGTATGATTTGATCCATTCATTAGCTTTGCCATTTATTCCATAGAAATTTAATTTCAATAGTAAGATATCATGATTTACACAATCAAAAGCTTTTGCTAAATCACAGAAAATCCCTCCCACTATTAATCTGTTATTGAGAGCATTTTGAATATCGTTGGTTAGTTCATGGGTTGCTTTCTCTGTGGTTTGGTCTTTCCTAAATCCAAACTGTTCTTTAACTAATATGTTGTTAGAATTTAAGTGTTCAAGGTAATCAAGACTTTAGAGAATGAAGTCAGTATACATATTGGTCTGTAGTTAGAAATGCATTTTCTCTCGCCTTTTTTAAAAAGTGGTTTCACTACAGTGTATTTTAAGCGTTGCGGAAAAATCCCTGATGATAAAGATTTATTACGCAAATGATTCAGCAGTGAACTGATGTAAACAGAGCGTGCTTTAATGAATGCATCAAAGGAATTAAGAAATGGACTTCTCTTTATTTAGGAATTAAAAGAATTCATCAAGGCAACAATAATAAACCCCTTTTTTAAGTACGATTTGAGGTTCTCACAGCCGTGGTTATGACAAATGCTGTCTTCTGGGATACAACACTATGTATTCCACTGAAAGTCAACTGATGTTCCAGAGAAACGTTTTGCCTCCATCTTCAGGGTGAAAGAATAAGCCAAGCAAGAAACCAGTATGAAGCTAGTAGCAAGCAGGGGTCTATTTTCTACAGACTATGTAGCATTATATCCGAGGAGATGGTTTTTATATATTGCTTAAGTAAATAAAGAAATTCTGATTTGAATATTTACCATAATGATTCCAGCGCAGTTTTGTCTTTCTGAGTGTTATTCCTGGAATCTGTGTGTGTGGGATGTGAAGTGAAGGCAGTTAAAAATTTATTCAAAATTGCATGTTATTATTGTTGTTGTTATAGCAGCTGCTATTGCTGTATGCAGGGATGTTGACTTATTTGAAGCCAGGAAAATTGTCCCCACACGATTTTTAAACATAGTATAATTATTTGCATGTACAATAAACAACAATTGAACTGAATTATTATTATTATCCTCTCAGAAAATCTATACTTTTCATTTCTCAATTAAACATTTATACATTTCATTTCTCAGAACTCATAACTTACATTTATGTTAATGAAATTATTATTATTATTGTTGTTGTTTGTTGTTTACTTGTCTGCATTAATGTGTTTTTCCTCCAGTGTTTGTAATTTGTCTTTGAATTTATGTTGTGATTGCCCATGATGTAATTACTTGTATCTACACTGTGCTGTGTCTGTAATTGGCTGTTGACTTGGCACATAAATAATAAAGAACTGAATTGAATTGAATTGAATTATTTAACTGCAAATGGGTTTTCACCCAGTGGCAGTGGTATGACAATAAGACAACAGACAAATAACACACTACTACAATAAGACACCAGACAAATAACACACATAAACACGTTCAAACAAAACACAGCACACAAACACTATATAATAAGCTAACAGTAATGAATGTGTAATGTCATATTCCTATTTTCCCTTAATTTCATTTTACTACACTTACATAATCCTCCCATCCTTGACACTTTTCACTTCAGTTCACTTCACTTCACATTACTGCAATTTTTTGCTAGTTTCCACCCCACCTTCACTTCACCTCATATATCACTTTCCTAACCCTTTTCCTGACATTACTTGGTTTACAGGAGAGAGACCCTACAGCATTTGCAGGTGGTTCCAGATCTGTACGGTCATATTTTCAAAGAAGTATTTTTCTTATAGTATCGGTCTGTGATTAGCTGCATTCTTCTTCTGCTAAATGCAGCTAGGATTGCCATGGCAAAAGCTGCATTTAGCAAGAAGAAGAATCTTTTTACCAGAAAATTGGACTTAAATTTGAGAAAGAAACAAGTGAAATGCTACATTTGGAGCATGGCTTTGTATGGGGCTGAAACTTGGACACTTAGGGCAGTAGATCAGAAACACCTGGAAAGCTCCGAAATGTGGTGTTGGAGAAGGATGGAGAAGATCAGTTGGGCTGATTATGTGAGAAATGAAGAAGTGTTATTTAGAGTCAGTGAGCAGAGGAATATCCTACACGAAATAAGAAAATGGAAGGCTAATTGGATTGGTCATATCTTACGCAGTAACTGCCTTCTAAAAGAAGTTATTGAAGGAAAGATAGAGGGGCGGATAGAAGTGACCAGAAGACGAAGAAGACGTAAGAAGATGCTGGATGACCTTGGGGACAGAAGAGGATATTCTCATTTGAAGGAGAAAGCTCTAGATTGCATTAAGTGGAGGAACTGTTTTGGACTGTGGACCTGTCATCTGACAGATTACTGATGAATGATGAATCGATCTGTGAATGGAAATGAAGAGGAATCCGGTTTCGTGTCCTGTAGTGTGTTGTGCCAATTAACGAGCTATTAAAGAAAAAGTATTTACTGGGTGTGTGTTGTCATACATAAAGATAACTTGGAATGAAGCCCATAGTGGATCTTTGTAGTATAATGGTCATGAAAGTCTCGACCCCACCCCGAATGGATTATAGGAAGGTTTTGCTGAATAACTCATTGGAGCTGAAACCCGTCAGAAAATTAAGGAAGGAAGTCTCCAGAACTTAATGGCCTGCTGAGTATAGCAAGAGACCATGAGCTTTGGTTTGATGTTGCATGTACAGCTAGGATTTGTGTTAAATGAAAAGAATGAGGTTTTTTTTGTTGTTCTGCATCTGTCCTTAGTTCTTGATATTAATTTGTTGAGGATACAAATGTGTTCTTGTTAAGAGTTACACGCTGTGTAGGAGCCTAAATCAATTTTTGCTGTTTTATTGTTTTTTTCTTATTTTTGTTTTTTATGTATATATCATAACTGAATAATGGTTTAAATTAAGGTTATTGATGTTAGGGGAGCTGGGATAGCTGCTGGTGTAGTGAGTACGCTTTTGGCCACAAAGTATTTAAAGACCTGTTAAACTGCTACCAGACAAGATAATAGAATTAGAACTGAAATGCTACATTACTGATCTCATGTTCTTCATATTACCACACTCACTGAAAGGCAGTATACGTAAATACCAGTTTAAACCTGATCATCAAGTGGTCAAGACTAAAGAGGCAAACACAAGCATTGTCAGAGAAACAAATGTTTAATTGTTGTATGATGGAAATTTTCCCACATGTTATTAACTAGTCACTGCCTTTATTGTGATATGTGACGGTATCATGTGAATTGGTTTACATCTGTAGAAGAAAAGATTAAATGTTTCAATAGCTAGTTTTAACATTGTGAGCTGCCATTGATACTGCGTAGAGTGCACTTACCTGACTAAAATATACTGGTCCTGGCATTTATATCAAGGGTAATTAGGACCACATAGCAAACATAAGTAATATTATTGCATATGAACATCCACCTTCGCACAGATTTTGTGGTTGTTGCTGTCGTATGGGGAAGGACTGAACAATAAAAGAGTCTGTAGTCTAAAGAAAATAATCTTCTGATATCCATATACAAGAAGCATTCCGAAATTCCCTACTTTTCCAGAGGCTGTTGCCATGGATTGCTCTGTTGCAACAATAGACAGACAGCACTGGGAGCCCTCCACAAGCTGCTCTCTATACCTCAAAACAGAACATACCATGAGGTGACTGGGGATATAATCTGCCCTTCTATGGTACAAGGCATTGATCACCTCAGAGATCCAAGACTGAACAAGGTAAGTTGATTTTGTTTCAGTAACTAGTGTAGTAACATTTCTTTATTTATAATATGAGATTAAACTTTATCTGCCCTTATTGAATTGTTAATTTGAGTCATTGTACTGTTAATGGGTTTTGTATAAATATCTGTGCCAGAACCAAAAACAGGGCACTGGCTTTTTAGTTACAACAAAGCTTAATAATAGTAATTAAAATTTTAAAAACTGGCATTCCTTTGAATACCATGGCTATTATGAAGTAGAATGGTTTCACTAAATTTTGATTACATATTTGATTTGTATAAGAATTAAAATTGTTGAGGATAGAACAGCTGAACAGGTGAGGGTTCCCCACTAACTAATGCCATACTCCTTATGGCCGTGCCATAGCTCAAGCGGTTAGTCGCTGGCTTCCCACCGTGGCGGCCTTGGTTCGAGCCCGGGTGTGGTCAAGTGGGATTTGTGGTGGACAAAGTGGCACTGGGGCAGGTTTTCTCTGAGTTCTTTGGTTTCTCTTGCCAATCTTCATTCCACCAAAAATTCTCCATCATCAAAATCACCCGGGACAGGTACAATAGGCCAATCAGTGGCCGACATGCCGAGTGGACCCAGCTGGACTCCACCCCCCACTATGTGAATTAAAAAATTAATGCCATATGCCTTGATATTTTATTGCAACATCCTGTTGCACATTATTAATTAATTAACAAATGTTTGTTGTTCTGTCTTACGTGCAACACTTTTTAAAAAATTTGTTTAAAAGTTACTGTGTATACATAATGCGTCTTTTAAACCTATTTTAAATAGCATTTAGAGCAAGAAACGCAATAGAAAACATAGTAAAGCCATGCCCACAAATCGACAAATACAGAAGAAATAGTGTGTGCCAAATGAAATGTATAGCTTGCCCACTGAAGTACATAGGGCAGACAGGCCAAACATTCTATACTAGATATAAGGAACACATACAGGCCATTAGAAATAACAACATTAATTTGGGATATTTGAATTACATATTGAGTAGGGGAAATATAACTGATAAATCAAAGTTATGGAAGTAGAAAGAAAGGAAAGTTATTTAATACTTTAGAGAAATACCACATATACAGGCTCAGAAGAAGCAGATTACATATAAATGACGCACATGTTGATATTTATAACCTAATATTTGAAGCGATGGAAGAAATAGACACTGGGTGGCAACATGCAGACATTATAAAAGACAAACTCAGTCCTGCTTAGCAAACATTTATGGTCTAAACACACTGCGCAGCAGGAGAAGACGCACAGGACCATGAAGTAAGTACGCAATCGTCCAGAGCAGTAACACACACTGTATATGAGACACTGACACAGGATATTAACACTGTTACAGTAACACGAATGTGTGATGGGGCTATGCATCCTACATTAGGAGGAAAAATGCAAGCACAGCAGTCTCCACAGAACAGTTTTTAAAACACCTGAGGATGACCAACGATGGTCAAAACATGTAGTGGGCAATGAAGTGTTGCATGTAAGACGAAGCTTCAAGGACATTTTCCATATTCCTTGTTTTAATGTTCAAGACGTTGAAAATAAAATGACGTGATTTACCCATATCTCTGGGACATAACACACAAATATAAAAGTAGACAAGAAACACAAATTAAATTTTATAAAACAGAGGCCCTTACAGTATATCTGTATGGATGTGAAGCTCTGGTGCTAAAAGAAGACTTTAGAAAGATTATTACAAATAACAGAAACAAAATTCTTGAGAGCAGAGCCTTGATTGAAACTGTTTGATAAGAGAAGAATTGACAGAAGTCAACCTAAAGTTAAAGCATTAAATGAAATAGTGGAAGAACAGAAGTGATTTGCACATAGAGGATATATGGAAGACTAGAATTACAGAATTAGTAATAAAATACAAAACCTGTGGAAAAGAGGATAGGATAAGCCGAGAAAAGGGTGGAAAGATCGGCTGGAGACGTGACTGGGTTTTTATCCTCATTTGTGAAGAAGAAAATTAGAAGTTACTTCCTTGTCATTGTATCACTGATTACAATAATAAATCCTGTAGCAACATGAATATTGCATTTACACGCTTTTATTCTTGATATAAATCATGTGCAGACTTGTTTTTATTGAAAATGGGTTTACCATCCTTTTACAGTTTTTAATGGGTCCAACTCCATGCTTCATGATATTCCATGATTAGTCAATAGGTATTTATTTATACATGAAACTCTTATGGAACTAGATTCACACCCATCACCACAACCCAGCATTAAATTCTGCTTTGACTTCTCTTTGAGCCTAGCTATTTCATAGAGCTTATTCTGGTCTTTTGTGTTACATAGAAGCAAGTGAGCAGTGTTTGTGGAACATTATGGACTTCTTAAAATTGTGAACAACAAGGAGATGCCCATGGTCAGGTTTTTGTTGTTGAGTGTACCATAGGCGAAAGCACAGTCATAACTGTGAGGTATGGGGTGATGTGATGTTCCAGGTGGGAAATTTATACGAGACTGTCCAAAAAATAATGGCTGAGATTGATGAGTATCAGTACCAACATTTAGATTACACAAGGTATGGTTAATATTGTAGCTCAGTCTTTGTGAAACTTGGTTTTTCTCTGTCTCTTAGACTCTTTTTGTGAAAAAGTAATGTCAGAACGCAAAGTTGAAGCCAGATAAAGATATAAACATAGATTTATACAGTAAACAAAAAGTTAAGGCAATTAAAATGTAACTGTGCTATATCTGTAAACATAACTAGGATTGGTTAGAGGAATTTTTCACTTTAGTTATCGTGAATTCACTGTATATTTGGGGTAATGTTGAAGAGTTTAATTCTCATTGTAGATATATCATGCCCTATTCCAGTATTTTGTTTCTAAAGTGACATACGATGGGGTACCCAAAAGAAACCGAACTAATTTTTTTGTGGGCAGAGCTTTTGTAGTACCGTGTTTTGCCGCCATGAGCGCATAGAGCTAACATTCCTGAGTCGATAAGCCGACTACCATTGCTTCAGAAGGTAAGGACTAGTTTCGGCAGAGTTTATAGTGACAACTGTTTTGTGTGATCGTCGTTTTTGCAATGGCTGATTTTCGTGAACAGCATGCGGCGATGAAATTCTGCTTTTTGCTTGGGAAAAGTGGAACAGAAACTCTTGAAATGTTAAAAACGGCGTACAAGGACGATGCTATGGGGAAAACTCAAGTGTTTGAGTGGTTTTCCCGTTTCAAAAATGGTGAAATGTCAATTGATGACAAACCTCGTTCTGGTCGTCCTTCCACGGCCCGAACACATGAAAATGTTGAAAAAATTCGTGAAATCATCAAGGAAGATCGACGACGGACCATTGAAGAAATTGTGGAGCTGTCGGGAGTGACTTGGAGCTCAGTTCAGCGAATTTTGACAGAAGATTTGGGAATGAAAAGGGTGGCTGCGAAATTCGTGCCACGACTGCTGACTGCTGAACAAAAACAAGGTCGCGTGGAAGCATGCTGTGCTTTGAAAGAAGAGTCCCGAAATGATCAAAACTTTTTTTCAAAAATTATCACCGGTGACGAAACCTGGTGCTATGCTTACGATCCTGAATCAAAGCAACAATCAAGCCAGTGGAAGACTTCAAGTTCGCCTCGCCCCAAGAAAGCTCGTCAGGTGAAATCAAACATGAAAACAATGCTGATTTGTTTTTTCGATGTGAGAGGAGTCGTCCATTCAGAGTTTGTTCCGCAGGGTCAGACAGTTAACCAGGCTTTCTACTTGGAAGTTTTGAAAAGATTGCGCAACAGTTTGCGGCCGAAGCGGCCAGATTTGTGGCAGTCGGGTGACTGGTTTTTCCATCATGACAATGCCCCTGCTCACACAGCCCTGTCTGTACGACAATTCTTGACCAAAAATGGTATGACCCCTGTTCCTCACCCTCCATACTCACCCAACCTTGCCCCGTGCGACTTTTTTTTGTTTCCTCGAATGAAAAGAGACATGAAAGGAAAGCGTTTTGCTGATGTTGCTGAGGTGAAGGAAAAAACGACGGAGGTGCTGTGAAGCATCTCAAAAGATGAATTTAGACAATGTTTTGAAAAATGGAATAAAAGACTAGACAAGTGTATTAGTGTAAGTGGAGAGTACTATGAAGGGGATTGAAGGTTTGTGCTTAAAATTTGAATAAATAAGTTTAAAAAAAATAATTTCGGTTTCTTTTGGGTACCCCCTCATATGTCAGCAATTTATTTCATACATTCATATAGTGGCACAGTATTCTATTCTTTTATTGAGGATTCTGGAATTAGATAAATTACACAAATTACATAAATTAATAAACAAAAAATAAGCATATGGTTGCTTCAGGGCAAGATTAGAAGTAATGCTTGTCAAACTTCAGTAATGTTGCACTTCATTTCAGCCTCAGAGCTGTTGAAAAGGAATTTTTGTGGTAAAAATACTTTTTATGAAGGGGCATAATGCAAAGGTACAGAACACCAGTAGTCACTTCATATTCATTAAGCATTTGGTTGAGAAAGCATTCACATTTCTTGCTTTCCACATGGACCAGAACTTTGCTGCTGTTATTTATTAAAGAATGAGATTTTTGTGTGCAATTACTTTTGAATCACTCACTCACTTATGGAGCTGAGCCCTTCGTGAGAAGCCGCAAATTGTGCAGCTACTCAAAGTTCCAGCATTTTAGGGAACCCTAAGGTTCATTTCGTGTTCACAAGAGCCCTCCACTGGTCCCTATCCTGAACCAGTTCAATCCAAGCCATACCATCCCATCCCATCTCTCTAAGATCCATTTTAATATTGTCCACCCACCTATGCCTTGGTCTTCCCACTGGGCTCTTTCCATCTCGCTTTCATACCAATATCCTATATACATTCCTTATCTCCCACATTCGTGCTACATGCCTAACCATCTCATCCTCCTTGACTTGATCATTCTAATTATACTTGGAGAAGAGTACAAGTTATGAAACTCCTCATTATGCAGTTTTCTCGAACTTCCTGTCACTTCATCTCTCTTCGGTCCAAATATCCTCCTCAACACCCTGTTCCCAAAGACCCTCAGTCTATGTTCTTCCCTTAATCTCAGAGACCAAATTTCACACCCACACACTTTTGAATGCATGTGGTATCTTTACTGATATGTGTAGTTAGAGAACTGTAAGATTTCATAAAGGACAGTTTGGGAATCACTGCCTTAGATGATATAATCATCACATTGTTGGTCCAAGTACACTGGTTTAACTGGATGGGTGCTCAGACTTAATCAATTAGCCCTTAACTGCTTCACTGACAGATACCTCCTGTTGGAGTTTCATCATAGTGTAAAGATGATGACAGTCAAATTACACAGGCAGTATTTTTTCAATCCAGTAATAATGAACTTTTCATGAACTTATATTTACACTGCATCCAACATTGTATATCTTTCCACTCTTGCTCTGTGCTGGAACTTTCATTTTTTGCCCTGAGATTTATGTATCAAATGTTTTACAGGTAAAAGCCCATGATTATAGTGCAGTAGAACATTGGTTATATTTATGAATGTAATAACGTGATAGACTAAAAACAGATGTTGCTTTGTAGGGTCTTGCATTTACACTGCAGGAAAGACAACAACTAGGTATCCATGGTTTAATGCCAGCAAGATTCAAGACCCAAGAAGAACAGCTGGAACTATGCAAAACAAGTGTGGAGAGGTACCAAGAAGATCTAAACAAATATCTCTACCTTGTAGAGTTACAGGTAAGTAATACTGGGGAATGTTTGCAAAGACATTTAATGTACTTTTTGTTATCATCATCAGTAATCTGTCAAGACGACAGGTCCACAGTCTCTTCCAAAACAATTCCTCCACTTAATGCGATCTAGAGATTTCTCCTTCAAATGACAGTATCCTCTTCTGTCCCCAAGGTCATCCAGCATCTTCTTACGTCTTCTTCCTCGTCTTCTTGTCACTTCTATCCGCCCATCTATCTTTCCTTCGATAACTTCTTTTAGAAGGCAGTTTCTGCGTAAAACATGACCAATCCAATTAGCCTTCCGTTTTCTTATTTCATGTAGGATANTAAGAGCCATTGATGAATTAATAGATTTTAGATTTACTAATGCGTGGGCAGGTTTTAGTCATTTATCTTAAGCCCTGTTGATGAGTATAGACATTGAAACATGCCTACATTTACAGTTTATTAACCTCATTTAGAGATATAACAGTAGAAAAAAGAATTTTCTCTTCTCAACGTCATCCAGACCTGTTCTGTGGCCCCCCCACCCTCCTATCCAATGGGTACTGGGTGCTATTTCCCCAGGCATAAAAAGGCCATGTCATGAAGCTGACCACTCACCTCAAACTACTGCAAAGGTCAAGAGAATGTCCATCTGTGCATCCATTCCCCCATATGCCTTCATGGCAAAGTGCTTAATTAGTTAAGCACAGAGACAACTTTACCTTTCAAAAATCAGCAACATGAAAATAAATATTGTATGAAATAAATGAAAATAAATGGCATGCTCCTAGTTGACAATCACTATTCTGGCAATCACAATTCTGACAACATGATCACAGAATAACTATTCTGTTACACAATGCAATATCATTCAAGTTGAGAAAAAGTACTTCAGCTTTGCATACTTAAAGCCATCACTTTAGATGTGAACTTATTTATGTAGTGGGTCTCTTGACTGATAATATAACAGTTCCGCTATAATTCTCATCATCCCAATTGCATCCCTGGTTCCTTTTCCTCTTCTAAATCCAAACTGATCTTCTCCAAGTACATCCTCTATTTTCCTTTAGAGGAGATCAGTTTGGATTTAGAAGAGGAAAAGGAACCAGGGATGCAATTGGGATGATGAGAATTATAGCGGATTTGTTATATTATCAGTCAAGAGACCCACTACATAAATAAGTTCACATCTAAAGTGATGGCTTTAAGTATGCAAAGCTGAAGTACTTTTTCTCAACTTGAATGATATTGCATTGTGTAACAGAATAGTTATTCTGTGATCATGTTGTCAGAATTGTGATTGCCAGAATAGTGATTGTCAACTAGGAGCATGCCATTTATTTTCATTTATTTCATACAATATTTATTTTCATGTTGCTGATTTTTGAAAGGTAAAGTTGTCTCTGTGCTTAACTAATTAAGCACTTTGCCATGAAGGCATATGGGGGAATGGATGCACAGATGGACATTCTCTTGACCTTTGCAGTAGTTTGAGGTGAGTGGTCAGCTTCATGACATGGCCTTTTTATGCCTGGGGAAATAGCACCCAGTACCCATTGGATAGGAGGGTGGGGGGGCCACAGAACAGGTCTGGATGACGTTGAGAAGAGAAAATTCTTTTTTCTACTGTTATATCTCTAAATGAGGTTAATAAACTGTAAATGTAGGCATGTTTCAATGTCTATACTCATCAACAGGGCTTAAGATAAATGACTAAAACCTGCCCACGCATTAGTAAATCTAAAATCTATTAATTCATCAATGGCTCTTAGAAATAATTTTTGAGGAGTTACTGGTAATTAAAATTTAAGATCACTGTTTCTCTCTACTATCTACCTATGACTCTACAGCCCTTTGTTGGGCCTTGGCCGCTTCTTTAGTTTCTTAATCCTATACACAGTCAGTAGGACTCCTTGGACGTGGGATCAATCCGCCGCAAGGCCTCTACCTATGCACAGAACTGCATAAACACAGAATAAATTTACACAGGCATACATGCCTAGGGTAGTATTCAAACCCACAACCCCAGTGATTGAATGGACAAAGACTGTTCATGCATTAGATCATGCAACCACTGTGATAGGCTAAGGTTATTGCTATGCAGTAAAAATAATTGATACGTAAGCTTACATCTTCTTGTGAAACAGTTTCTGATCTGTATGGTATTGGGATTTTCTCAGTAATGAATAATTTGATACATCATGGCTAGTTTGGCTTAACAGTTATACTGAAAAAAGCCCAGATATGCTCCCCTCCCCCCATACTCCTCAAAATGTAATACCTATTCTTTGGATTTTGTTTTTATGTCTATGTAAGGGTCCACATTTGAGAAATAATTTTGAAATGTACATTGAAGATTGCTGTTTGCTTTGTTTCGAAATGTCGCTGTTCTATAATATTCCTGTATAATATGATAGAATTTGTGACTTTTTATATTCTGTTGATCTCTCCATATATGTTCCCTTCTGAATTTGTTTTTATTCTCATATTTGTATGTAGGATCCTTGAAATCCTGTCCATGCTTATTTTTGGTCCACATTCCTTTCTAATAACGTTTGACAGATTTAATTTCTTTTAAGCTTCCATTTTGTGTTTCCCACAGATCAACCTGTTGTCTGCGACTATTATGTTTTCATGTCTAGTCTTTTGTTCTCTCCTAAATCTTTATTAGCACATGTCATACACTTCTTTAAAATCTGAAACTTAATCATCAGATTCTTTCAAAATTGTTCCTGAGATAATTATCTTGGTGTAAAAGTCAAAGCTGTTGTGCATCTTTTCCAGTGAGATGCATTTTCTTGTATATTTTTTGTATTTTATTAGTTAAAATTCTTTTATAAATTTTATAACAGTGATTGAGAAATTGGCAAGCATGCAGAAATTCTGTTATGACTTGAAGTTGTTCATTTGAATATGTTAAAATTAATTATGTATTAGGCATTTTTGCTCTTTAGGAAGAACTTTATCACCCTACAAGAAAATTAAATTTTTTACAAGTCTTGTTGCCGTTGCCAAGCTGATATATACTGATTTCTGAGCATTATTTCTGTAATACAGGGTTCTATAAACTTATGAAATAATGATTCAGCATTCTGAAAATGTGAATAACACTTCATGCCAAAGTTTCATTATGTTCAGAAACATGTAAACCAGTCTATAGGATAAAATACCTTCCATGTTTTACTGAGCATAGCAGTGCACATATTTTCTTATCTACTCTATATGTTTTAATATTGACACCAGAATTAAATAATTAAGATAGTGTTTCAATTCTAGGACCGTAATGAACGCCTGTTTTTCCGTCTTCTTGCGGAGAATGTGGAACAGATGATGCCAATTGTATATACTCCCACTGTTGGCCTAGCTTGTCAGAAGTTTGGTCTCATCTACAGGAGACCTAGAGGACTCTTTATTACCATTAATGACCGAGGACATTGTTTTGATGTCCTTAAAAATTGGTATGTCAGCTACAAATAATCCAGCTTTCAGTGGCAAAATGTAAGATATAAGAGAACATAATATCACCAGACTAAGTGTCTAAATCACTAGTAACAGTAGCATGGGGTGGCACTGAAGTTATTTATTTAAATTATGCAAGTGCTCATGTTTTGTTGTTACCTGAGAGTGCCATTTTCTTGTGGCAGAAGTGAGGACCTCAGAACTAAAAATTTTAAACAGAATTTTCACCACTTCACTGATTAGAAATGAAAATCTTAACATAAATATAATAAGAAGATTGTATGAAAATCTTTTTAGACCAGAATAAGCTGAGAAAAAGTATAGAAAACTTCCAAATCAGGAATATTTTGAGGGTCAGTTATTTTCTTATCCTTGTTGCATATAAATATTTTTAAAGAGATTGTTGCAAAACTAACAGTCCATTCCATTTTTAGAATTCAAAGGTTCAGTACTGCTAACACAAAAGCCTGTTACTGTATCCTACCATGTGCAAAAAAAAAAAAAAGAAAGAAATTCTGTGTCATAATCACTTGTTTTGATTTGAATATTTATCTGCTGCTGCTTATAACTATCTTCCAAGAGGTTTTCCCATGAAAATATTGCAGGCATTTCTTGTTTTCTTATTCTTGCTATCCAAATTACCATGGAAGCATTTTCTGCTTATATTATTTTCTCCAATCCAAAGATTGTCTCAGCTTTGAAAGCAGTTATTTTCTGTTACACTTTTTCAGTTTGTGTTCCTACCACAAAAAGACACCAACTTTTATCGTGATACTTAAAAGCAGGGCAAATAATATTGTATTTTAATTTTCAGTTTCTTGAAAAAATGGGCAAGATTACAGTTTCTGAACTGAGTAATAACATGAATTAAGTCATTTCACCAGGTACTTGAATTGTGACACAATATCATTAAACTTTTGTTGCTGTAGAGGCTTTATTGTCTACACTACAATCCCTGTGTAAATCATTTCTACTTAGCAATAGAATTCTGTGTTATGAAGAAGTTGTGTATTTAAAATTAGCTGGTATGCCATAACATAAATGAAATAGTGGTGATATGAACAACAAAAACAGAAAATGCCTTGTGGAGTATCAATACTGTAAAACCGTTTTAAGGGCTAGTTATGTTTTTACTGTGTTCTTGTAATTAGCTGTGCAGACTGTCCATCAGTTTTCTTTCTGACTCCTAAAGTGATAGTGCCAGCAGCTTCCCCAAAATTCTATTCACTCAAAATCCTAGAATCTGATAATTTATGCTGGCCAGTAACCTGTCATGCAAAAGCGAGTGTTGCCTTTGTGTCGTTCACCCAATTTGTCAGCATTTTCTAAAAACTGTACAGAATGCCTCAGGAATGTGCTACGTCTAAAGATGATTTGAACTCGGTTTCTGGCTGGCCAACCTGTGGTTCACATAGCATATCCAACTTTACAAAACTTATAATAAATTTCTAAAGAATTAAACATAAGATCGACCCCTCATTAAATAAAATCATATATATTAATAACCTAGGGCACAACAAGTGCATATTAGGGGGTACTTGTGAACCATGCCTGCATGTCACCCTTACCTTTTCTGGTACTTGTTACAAGCAGTCTTTTTAATAATGCTGTTCACATTCTGTGATCTTTCAGAAGCTTCAGTGAGCTAAATGTGAAGATGTACCATATCTCCTCTTCTTCCTTGCTTCTTTTAACACCACACTGCAGATACTGTACTGACAGTTAAACTTACATTTGCAGTATTAGCATGAATATTTTGTGATGCAATATATATGTCTGTTTGTAAGTATAACATAAAATAATCTTACATTGATTATGTTTTTCAGTCATTTGTGCCTCTTCATCCCTTCTTTGTTCTGGGTAATTGGGAATGCAGTGCATATAGAACAGTAACAGCACCCAAACTGTTGTTCATTTCCTGTGATATAACAGTGACTTTGTTTGTGGTGTAAAATAAGCCAGTGCTAATCTTCTTTGAATGTGCTGTCTTTTGGTATGTGATGCCATGTTGTCTAGTAGACAGTTAACCAGGACTGTAGAAGAATCTTCTGCCTCCATCTTCATCAAATCTTCACAGTAACCATTATGATGATTGCTGTGAGAACGTGAAGTCTCACGTTTCTTCACTTTTTCCGCTAGGCCAGAACCCGATGTCCGTGCCATTGTTGTGACCGATGGAGAAAGAATTCTTGGTCTGGGAGATTTAGGTGCATGTGGCATGGGCATTCCTGTGGGTAAGTTGGCCCTATACACAGCCCTGGCAGGCATCAAGCCACATCAGTGTTTGCCCATCACTCTCGATGTGGGCACAAACAACCAGGTACAGCAAGTTAAGTCATAGCTAAGTACTGTAAATAAGAAGTGAAGTAATACTGGCATTGTAGACTGAAACCATAAAAAGGACTAGTTTTGTTCTCAAGAATCATTTCGCTGCCCCACTTCTACTTTCAACCCTTGGTAACTGCAGCCAGTAATAATGATTGCTAAAAGTGAGTGCATATATGTCTTCACTGAAGTGGGAGGGTACTGATCGCCTGAGACAAACTTGAGCTTAATCCAAAACATAAAACATGTGCTTAGCACATGATCTGACTTTGTAAGATACTACTTTAATGAATAACCATGGTGTTTTGCAGAAGAAAATGGCTTCTATGTTGAGTACACACAAGTGATGGATGTGTATATTTTATTCACTTTCAGTTTAACCATTCCAGATAGGAAAAACAGTTACACAGAGAGAAATTGCAGTGATATTAAATAGAAGAGTTTGTCATAAAATCACATATCCATTGGAAAATTAATTTTCTTCTCCCTGTTCCCTTGTGATCCATATGATATTGTCATGGTTAGAGACTAGACACAGGGTTTGGATTGATAATTGTAATGGACAACTTATAACTCGTAGCTACAAGTAACTAAGACACTCGATGGTCTGCACACTGTAAAGATCACTGACAAGAGGTTTGACCTTTTTTTATTCTTTATCCAAAATGATACATCAGTAGTCAGGTGGAAACAATTAATTAGAGGAGCAAAGTTGTGCGTGTGACATGAATTCTACCAGTAAACAAGCAATGAGTTGCTTTACATTTCTGGTGCTTTACGGTTGCTGTAAAGTTTAATACTGTTTGGAGCTGATGTCTAGTATACGAGTCTTCATAATGTGAATATAACAGTAATTACAAATCTGTCGGTATAATGACAACAAATGACTTGAAGATGAAAGTAGAACCAAGTCCTGAAATGTCATGTATGTCCACATATACCATATAAAATGATCAGTACATACTATAATAATGGTATAATTACTTAACCATTGTTTCCAGAATGAATGAAGATTCCTTAAACATCTTGGCTGAACTACTTTTATATAAAAATATGTGTATATTTTCTGTGGCACTGTGGCATCAAGTGTTCCACTGTTCATTTTCCATCAGATTTGATTAGCAAGGCCTCAGCTGTCCAGTCATATAACTAACAACACATCATGTAAAGTCAGTTCCCCTATACAATTAACCGAACCATTGCTGACACTTTTCTACGCATCTGTAAGCATATGCCTTTGTGCAACATCTTTACCCTGCTGTACTTCATACTGGCTTACCCTGAATGTTTCCACTCACCTAGAGTCAAGATCAGAAGGCTCCAACAGGTCTGCAGCTTCTTGCTTCATCAGCTTCCTTCTTATTTATAGGAGTTCTTTGCTGAAATGTTACAAATGGAGGTGAGGGAAGTTGCCAAGTTGTAAATTTAATGCTCTTCAGGGAATGGGATAATTTGATTATATTACAGTTCCAGGTGGAATAGCAGTTCTTCTGCCTGCCAGTTCCAAGTAGCTAAATTCTTTCATTTTTACACAGTAATTTTATTGCTGAGAGATTTGTAGCCGTACGAGGTAACTGCACAATGACTTATTCGCATAAGTACATCACAGTATTACAGGAAACACCCTTCCTTGAAAATACTGCTCCACAGCATACTTAGTACATCTTTTTCCTTTGTGTGCATGTCTCATAATTGTGTATAGTACTACTAAAGGAAATTGGTGACATGTGGCAGTCCTGATAAAGAAACTGAAATAACACATGTACGTGGTGTGTTCCATATATTATGCCTCCTATTTTTTTTAAAGAAAACTACAACAGATACAGAAATCATAATAACGCAGTTAAATAGAGCAAGATTTCAGCTACTTACAGCTATTTTTCCACATAATCACCACCATTCGTTATGCACTTTTGCCATCGATGAACAAGAGCCTGTATGCTGCACCTATAAAAGTCTGCACCAGCAGAGGCTAGCCACTTTCTTACAGCTGCAATGACAGCATCGTTGTCTGGAAAATGTTGTCCACATAGTCCGTCTTTGATAGGCCCAAAGAGATGGAAGTCTGAAGGTGCTAAATCGGGGCTATAAGGTGGATGTGGTAGGACAGTCCAGCCAAACTTTGCAGTGTGCGCGGTGGTCGCCAAACTGGTATGAGGTCTAGTGTTATCGTGTTGCAAACGAAAGGTTGTCTGCTTCTCTGGCCTGACTCAGGAAATATGGGCTTTCAGCTTAGTCAGCGTCATCTTGTAGCATTCAGAATTGACAGACTCACCAAGATCCAGGAAATCCAA